GTCTTTTTAACATTGCAAAAATTGAATGTTTAAGGCTCACTTGAACCTGATTTTATTCATTAAACCTAAAATTAAGAAAATCCAAATGCTGTGGAATTAAGGGAGTAATGTAAACAGTGTGAATAATAACTCCATTGTTTAAATTGCTTCCCTGGATTCAGTTCCAAGCATTGGGTCAAGTCCTTCACCAGGTGAGACCAAAATGTTTCAAACCCCGCATTTCTCCAGGTCAGCTGTCCTGGGTTTGAAGATCATTGAGAAAGCAATTCCTTCTCGCCATCAGCACCAATTCTGCAGAGGTTGTAAGGAAGCCCCTCTTCTCCTTTTGCAGGTAAGCAAAGGCATTTTTTTCCAAGTTGGGCTCTTGACTTTATGAGCTGTTTGCTGAAACAGATTTGTACACATTTACTTTTTATTGTCCTTGCTATACCTTTAAGTGTTTGTCTATTGTGCTTCAATTATAACTTTGCACTTTATATCCAAGTTACGTTTTGCACAGTGTTATTGGAAAGGGGATCAGTTAGAGAGGAAGTAGCTTTTAAAGAGCTTGTTAATCTTGTGTTCATGAGACTGTGGCCGAGAGGCAATCGGACACGTTGCCAAATAAATAAATAAAGAAATAAAGGGCAAGAAATCAACCAAAGTTCTCAAAACAAGCAGAGGAAGGGGTCCACCAAATGGCACCAAACTTTTGAATTCATTCTTGTCTACTTCCTGACTGTGTTGAACCAATAATGCAAGTGCATATGGTGGGACTGAGAAGTGAGTAAGTAACTTGCAGCCATGGAGTATGGCTCAGAGAGAAAGAGAAAGGGGCAAGTTAGGTCAGAAAACCCTCCAGCTACACTGGGGAGCCAAAATGGCTGAAGGTTAAGATTCTTCACCAAGAGGACCCAGAGCACAACAGGATATCGCTCTCCCCAACTTCCAAATCCTGTCAATGTTAGTGTCAGCCTTAGGAAGTAATGCAGCTGCTTGTAATTCATGGCATTTAAGTCAAGAGAAAAATAAACCCTTGGGATTAAATGCTACTTTCAAGAGATTTGAACTGGTAGCAGCCAAAAAAGGAAACAAACACGGTCTGTTTAAAAATGCACATTTTTTTTCACTATGAAAGAATCCAGAACATCTGACACATTTATACCCTTTAATAAAATTATTAAATAGGAAATGAAGTCATCTGTTTTTCTTTAAGATCCACTATTTTTGTTTACATACCCAGGTGACAGTTAGAATTTCTCCATCTATCTCTCCCTTTCCAAACATTTCTTTTCTCACCTCTGATATGGTTACATTCCATGTTTAGCTTTAATAGGAGGATGTCTCAAACAGCTCCATTGCCCACTTTGTCTAGAGCTTTAGAGATATTTTTTCAAATCTACTGAACAGCTTTAGAAGCTTCAAAGGGCATAAACAAAGCAGCTGTTTCTCCTACACGTCTCTCAGATGCACAAGGTCCTCGCTGGAGAAGCCCTTCTCCCCGGCAGTGGCATTACTCTTTCCAAACGTTCTGCAAGGCGCTTGTATCTACCTGGAAGAGGTAGAGGTACGGGCTTTGATCACACGGGGAAGACGCCTTCTTGACTTTTTTGACACACGTGCATACATCCATTGAAGGTCCTTGTTGAAACAGCTTCCAAACACTATAATCCAATCTTTGCAAATTCCTGAAAGGGTTTGCTCTGGGTGTGGCAACTTCATTTTCCTTCCCTCTTCACAATTCCTTTAACATTGGCAAAGTGGTCTGTGGTGGGCTATATCGTAGGATCCTTCCCTTGGCCTTGGCTGCTGGGAGATGTAGTCCAACAGCGGCCCCGAATTATCCAGCCATGCCCTCTGTAGTCTTTGCTATCGGGGACTTCTGCTGAGGGGGCTCACTTGGGAATGAGAAGAAGAGCAGGTCTCGCTCACTGCGAGGCCAAACACGGGTCCACTTCTCTGCTCACCTTGCAAGGAAACCTCTGCTTTTCAGCACTTCTGGCCACTGAATGAAAAGTCTTAACAATGAGCACCACGTAGAGGTTGCTGTCTGTTGGGAGAGGTGCGTTCTTCTGTGGACAACCTGTAATTTGCACCCTTTTCTAGCCACCCTTTCAGAGCCCTCCTGAGCCCCCAGGGCATTGCTGAGTTGGAGAGTTCACCTTCTGGGCCCACCTTTGCATTTTTGGGTGCTGGGGAGGTTTTTATGGGCACCTCGGGTGCCTTAATGTATCCTAAGAGTATTCCCATTTGCCAGATCTAGGTGGAGAAATCCCTGTGTTCAGCCTGTGTGAATATGGATGTGGAACTTCGCTGAGATTCCACGGAATTTGTGACAAAAAGCCTCTTACAGGATGTGCAGAACTACCAAGGGCAGTGCTGTTGAGATTAGCATTCCTGATTTATACAGTTTTTGCACTCCCATCAAAAATTAATTTATGGCCTTTTATGAAAAGAGGGCAATTTTTGAAAAGGCAGATCGTTTGCTTAGTGAAGGCACAATCCTTTGGAAAATGTTCCCAATTAAAAAACGAGACAGACAGGAGTCTCCTTCATTTCAGTGGGGCAGGAATCACAATTTCCTGATGGTTTGGGTTCACTTTCTTATTTTCTTTTTAGCCAAGCGCAGGATTTTTTAAAGCATTAACACTTCTGGGTTTCTGCCTAGTTGGTAAATGTTGTTGATGTACGTTGGTGGTATGAGAATATTGCATGCCTTTCAAATTGTAGGATGAATAATAATAATAATAATGATGATGATGATGATGATGATGATGATGATGATGATGATGATGATGCATTCTCAATCTGCAGACACAGTTAGTTCCCTTTTTGTTTATAGCACTATTCTCTTTGAATTCCTGCATACCTCTGAATGCTGTATGGATAAGCAATGAAATTTAATGTTCAAGCATGTTTTTGTTTCCAAGTTGGCTCCTTCAAATGACAGCGAAGGCTTCCTTGCACAGGATGTCCTTGCACACAAGGATGAAAGTCATCCAAAGAACCGGCTGACCTAACAGGAGGCTCTGAACAGGCACCACCTGTTCCATCTTCACTCCACGGAGCTGAAAAGTTTTGCTGTTGATTGGAGGAATTTTAGTCACGTAACTGAAAACGGGTTCTTATTCAAATTTATGTTAATTTTCACCTTACTAGTGTGAGAGACAGAGGAAGAGGAAGATCAAGAATGCTGCAATATTAAGAGAGAATGCAGGCCCATGTGAAGGTAAGAATCGTTCTGAATTAAGGAGAAGTTGTTTTGGCATCCTCAATATGCTAATAAGTTGAAATTAATGTTTCTTAAATACCAATGGTTTCGGTAAACTGCACAGAATGGCAGAGGACCTTCTGCTGCAACAGCACGAACACGATCAGTCGGTAGTTCCACAGAAGAGGGAAGAATGATGTAAACGGGGTCTTGGCGCTAGAAGGAAACAAAAGGGTTTCTCTGCTGCAGCTGTGCTCGGCATCGGATCATGTTCAGAACCACTGAAGCAAGAACAATCATTGATTGGTGCGCATGGAAAGCAGCGGAGACAGGCGTTGATGGGTCCGCATATATCCCAGAATTCTCTGCTCATTGGAGTTGGGAGAACTTAGCTTCTCAAGTCAATCTAGGTGCATTTAACCCCACATTTCCAAGAGTTGGGTAAAGGCTGTCTGGCAAATGCTGAAGTGGAATTAAGCCGCAAGTAGAAACTAAGAGCGTGGAAGATAGGTTGGAGGAGCTGGGTAAGTATATCCTTGAGGAATGACCACCGTGGTGGTAGAGGTGGTGGTGGAATTGCCCTTTCAGCTTTGCAGAATGTCACACAGGAACTGATCAAGGCCTGTTTCCTCATGTTTCAGAATGCAGGACATGGAATAATGGATTTAAGTTCCAGGCAACAGATTCCAACCGTGTTTGGAAAAAGCATCAAAAAAATAAGAGCAGTTTGACAGTAGATACTGTGATTGAGCACATCCAACAAAGCAATCAGAGGGTAGACAGGCACTTGTCTGAGAAGCTTTCATTTGGGTTCCTGGATGGAGCACGAGGTCAGGCCCCATGGACTCAATGGCCCCCCGCAATGCTGCATTATTCCTGGATTTTCTTCTCTTCCATACGGGCACAGAACGGGGCTATCCAGCTGCCCACGCAGCTTCAGGGAAGGCCTGATGACATCTACCCATTCTTAGTAAGAGTCAGAGTGCCCAGAATGTCAAGATGCACTGAGAAGAGATACTCCTCTTGCTCTACTGAGAGAGGAAGATCCGCTCCTCTTTCTGGCAGGAGGAGGGGTTGAGGGAAGGCAGAGATTCAGAGAGGCTTTCCTCTTCCCCAAACCCCACCCTCAGCATCACTGGCCCTTGATTTGCCTGAGTTCCCCATCTCTTCAGGAAAGGCAGGCCCACCTCGAGGTCATCAGAACTGGAAAGTGAAAGGTGGATCAAATGGCAGAATAAAAAACATTAGATGAGTTGGGAGCAAATGTTATGTAAAGACTACGAAGCTGTCATTTTATTTAGTATGAAAATATTCAAGAGCTGCTAAAACTGTTGACCCCGTATCTTAGGAGAGCCATCAGCTCTGAAAAGTGAACCTCGGAATCTACCCTGTTATGGAGAGAGATCCCTGGTTGCTGCTGGTTTTCTAGGAATGAGATCAGATTGGTGGACTTTGTTTTAGAAGCAGCCAGGAAAGATCAGCTTTGGCTCCATCCAGGTTGGCTTTGATTTTCATTCCCAAAGGGTGACAGTTTCCTTCCATCCCAGTCGTCTGCCAGAACATACAAGGAAAGTCAGCATTCCTTAAAAGCACTTACAGCTACTTTCCGCTGCAGCTCGGTTGCACAGCATGAATCCAACAAGATTTTCAAAGGAGGAAGGTTGGGTTGCAGTTCAGAAATGCCTTGAGCTTTAACTAATCTGGATAAAATATAATGCTGTGTGAATATGGTGTGTAGCTGAAGGAAGGGCTGGATTAATGATGTTGAGAAAAGTGACCTCACTGGCAGCTTTCAGCCAAATTGTAGCTCAGAATGAAAAGCTCTGATCTGGCCGTTTATCCATCGCCATCACATAGCTCATTCTGCTACCTAGACTCAACCACTGGCATGCCATAAATACATTTTAAAAAGAATAGAATATGTGATGTAACACAGCAAGTATTAAACGCATTGCCACCAAACAGCTAAAAGGAAGAAGAGCGGGAGTGGGCGAATCCAACTGACCCAGCTGTAGATGTACTTAGTTCAGATGAGCCGGTGCTGATTGATGGCCATTCCCAGGCAGAAGAAGTCTTTCCTAACTCAGCTTGGAGATGCTGGGGTTGAATCTGGGATCTTCCGCAAGCAAAGTATGGGGGAGCTGCAACATCTCCTCTGCTATCAAATCATTGGGCTCCTAATAGGGACTGGCTGCACTAACCTGGTAACATTTCTCACATTGGGCAGACCATAATAGCACCATTTCAGAGAATTAGAAATCTCCACTGTCTGAAATCTTTGGAAGAGGTTTTACAGAAGATTCCACTGCGCCTGGACCATTGCACCTGGGGTGAGATCAGCAAAAAATGGAGGGTTGAAGGCATGTGTCCTTCTCTGAGATTGTGGCTTGCTTGCTTGGTCAAATGACAGCAAGTTAGAAGTCCTTTTATGGCCATCTAAGCAGAGCCTACTTCTTGATCAACTACTTAGCCCACTATTAGGTGCTAGCTCTTTGCAAATGTCGAAAATGCTATGATACTTTCTTCAATCCATGGAAGGTACATACCTCCCACCTTACCGTCCTCCATACAGCTCTTTCAATCATCCTGAAATATGCTGCTTGCCTGCATATTTCTGTCATCTAGATCCCTGTTCATCTGGCACATCCCTGCTTCAGCTCTCATTAAAGCAACAACTAAGCATACTTTGAGATTTTCCCAAGAAGAACAAGGTTAAATATTGCTAATCAAAATTCCCGGAGTGTTGGGGAGTAAGACGTGAGAGATGATGGAGGTAGCTGCATGATGGGGTTGTATGTTCTTGAAGAACGTGGCAGATGCTGCATGAAGTACATCATGAATGGCTAAGCAGCGAAGGTTCAAGAAACAGGGTTTATGAGATGCCCGGGATCAGCTTTCCTGCCTGCATATATACTGCAGCAACATAACAACTGTTACAGGCTGAGGCTGGGGTGGCACCCAGGCCTCCCTTGCACAGGCAGCATCCAGGAGGGCTTGGAGCAAGAAGGGCAGACTATACAGAATGCATCACACGGCTATTGAGGGCTGTTGAGAAACCACTTGGCTGCAACTTCATTCAGTTCAGGCTTGCAAGGGATTAGATGAACTATAGCACGCCGATCCATTCCTCCAGTACTGGATAAGGTCTGCAGTGTGCACCCAACCACGTGTGGGCAGATCTTGCACTTTGTTGTGAACCAGTGTGTCAACCCCCCAAGCTTGACTGGAGCTTTGCAGTTTGACCCTCTGGTTTGTGAAGGGCCTCCCAATTCCAGGTTCAGAGGGTGTCACCTACTTACCTCAACAATGCGCCCAGTGCAGGACCAAGTTATGACTGTGCTTAGAGAAGAATAGCTTAGAACAGAGTGACCATCACAAAGCAGCTCCATTGTTAAGGGACAACTAAAAACATGCTTGCTGGAGTCAATCAGGCAGGGGTGCAGATAAAATTCCCTCCTAGTGGCTGATGTCCATTTCCAGCAAGGTAAACAGGAAATGACAGTGAGAAGGTAGAGAAGACAGATGGGGACGTGAAGATGCCACTCCAGAATCTGCAGTTCCCTCTGGGGAATGGATTTGCTCTTGGGTGCTCTTCACCCTGTGCAAGGACAAGAGCCGTCTCTTGGTCACCTGCAAGCATGGGACTGTTCCTAGACCCACCCCCCTCACATACTGCATCCATGAAAAGGAAACTTTGCTGAGTTGGGGGATAGATGGGTGGGGGTAGGGTGGGGAGACACTCCGATTCATACTTATTTTTTTCTTAAATAATTTCCCATCTGTGGAGTCCTTGGTGCTCTCTGAGCTTGGTTGTTTGCTTGCAGACATTTATTATTGTTGATTGTTTCATGTGTCTTCCCTAGTTGTTCCTTTTTTATTATAATGAAGGTGTCATCCACACACCAGATCCCTACTTTTGGTTGTATGTGTGGAAGTGCTACAGTTTCTAGACACGGCGTTACAGTCTCTGCTACGAGTCCTGAGACTCATGGAGATTCCATGAGCATTCCTCTGATTTGTTGGCATATTTGTCCATCAAACTGAAAGTAGGTAGTTTATTTCTAATCTTTAAAAGAAAATTACCTTGTTCAAAATGCGGTGGGGGAGGACCCACAATAATACAATGAACCTCTGATAGGCTCCTTCTTTTTAACTGTTTCTATATTTTGCCTTTCACAGACAAAGAAAAAGAGGGTCCCCATCCACTAATGGGACCATCATTGGTCCTGTTAATTCATCTGATGGAGTTCAGGAGCCAAAAGAACAACTAAAGTTGACAGAGAACCAAGGTTAGTGGGCCTCTGCCTTCTCATCTGAAATCATGTGAAGCCTCTCTAGGGATTTAGGGGGAGAAATCTACCATATGCCCATGAAATGAATACTTCTGGTTGGGTTTAGCATTTCTAAATAATAGTTAGAGGTCAAGGGAGAGACCCTTTCTTCTTTGAGTTGTCAGGTCTGTTTTGAGAAGGTGTTAAGAAGGTATCGTTCTAAATTACTTGGCAGCTGTCAAAAGTATTCTTGAATAAGTTGGGCTGGCGTCTAAAAAAAGAGAGAGTTTCATTCTGTGTAGGCACTGTAAGCATGGAAAAATAAATGAAAAACTCACCAGTGATACCACAGAGTATATCTGAGCTCACATTAGAGCAGTGAGTGACCTGCTAAGGTGGAGGGGTCGGGGGATCTACTGTGGATGTTGCTGACTGTGATTTTTCTGTAATGGATTTGAATGGCTTGGGGGATAGAGAACAAGGCTGCAGTTGTCAGAGCTGGAGGCCTCGCTGTTTCAGAGGTGTCAAATTATTGCTCCTCAGCAGGATGAAGCCACACGCCAGGGCCAGGAGCCTGTAGGTTTTGGCACGTGTCTTATCCATTCCTGGCACACAGGACCTGCTAGTGAAGGGGAATCTTGGTCTCCTAAACTTTAAAAAACAGCACCTAGAATTGGGTTATAATAGGAACATGATAAGAGGATATGAGGCAAAAGGGACTCTGATGGCTGATCACCAGAAGATCAATCAGGTGGAGCATGGCCACCATCAAACAAACATCTCAAAGGCAAGACACAACAATGCTGCACGCCAACATTTTGTCAAGAGTTTTAACATGTTTTGAACTGCATTCTATCGGAGGATTATAACTTACAGATTCTAAGTTTGACACAAAACTTAAAATATACAGATCTGCATACTATGACTTTTTTATATTCTATAGCACCTTGGGACCTGGCATCTTCTTTCTTCATTTCTTTGATCTACCAGTCTCTCTCCCCCTCCCCCTTTCTCATCCATCTAGCTATCTGATTTGTTTTCTGCTTTCCCATTCCACAAGAACGTTCACCCCATCATTTCTGGAATTAACAGGATCCTTCCCATTAATGCTGATAACCTTCCTAGCTTTTCTGAACATAAAGTAGCTTAAGGAAGAAAAGGTGTAACCCTCTCCCTCTCTCCTTCTGCTCCCAAGTCTTCAGGTCTTCCATTTCTCTACAGCCCTCAGAATAATCACACTGCCTCAGTTCTTCTTCTCCTTCTATCTTTCGTAGATCTGAGGACAGAAGAAATAAGAATGAAAGTCAAATGATACTTTTAAAAAAACTGAACTAAAATAGAAAGTTCAATGGTATTTATGGTAAATGTACGGTATAAATGGCCTTCATGAAGGGGTATGGTTGCTGGACCTGATGGCCAGATAATCTAGGCAGCCATATGCCTACAGAAAGCCCCTAGCCAGACAGATGTCCATCTTCCCTTTTGGGCACCAGAGGAAAGAAGGACCAGAAACTTGGAATGATAAGCATTCTTCTTAAAAATGAAATCATCTTAGAAGTACTCTGATTTCTGAATCAATATAGTTCAAATTCCAGAAATAGAAGAGACATTCTTTGATTGGTCCAAAGTGTTGCTTCCAAAGAATATGAGATAATGGACTTAATGCAGCCAAAGCGTCAATAAAACATGGACAAGAAAAAGCCTATTAAGCTCATGTTTAGACATGGAAGATGTAGTTTTTAACAGGGCTCACAGAATGCCCACGTAGATAGCCTATAAAGTAAAATATAGAAATAATGGATAAACATGTCCTCTCCGATTGCAGAAATATGTTCTGGTTTATATCTTGGCTGCGGGTCCCAAACATGGCATGCCAGGACCAAGGACATCTCGGATGCAAATGCATCTGTCGCTCGGCCAGCTCCTTTATTTCCCAGCCAAACTGTAACCGACAGTCGTCGAGAGGGTCAAGTCTCCTTCTCCAAGTTCCAAGAAGAGAATTTATAGCTCGTAAACTTGAGCCGTGCAGTCTGATTCACAGGGCTCATGAACGTTTTTTGTACTTCTGAGAAATTCATTTGTGAACATGATTGACTTTAAACATTTCTCCCTCTGTCCAACTGAATTGGAGAAGTGTTATTCCAAGGAATCATTTTATTTGTTTAAAAGCCGTTCCTCGGGTACAATAAAACCTGGAATTATAACACAGAGGAGGTTTCGAAAGGGCTTCCTGTGGTTGCAGTTTTTGTTTATTCACTAATTCATTCAGCACCATCAATGGAGTTGTGTAAAGAATTTGCTTTGACGGCGGGGACAAATGGGAGAAGCTGACGGCTCAAGCAATAACATTCAGCCAGTGGGATCGTGTATGGTGCTATGTGATATGAATTGCACTCAGAATTCATGTTGAAGGCAGTTATGTGCACAGTTCCTCACTTGCTTGTGCACAAACTAGGCTGGACCAAGAAATAAATAAATTTTATCCGATTTGTCGCTTCTTTCGAAGGTGAAGAAATCATATGATGTACTAGAATTTTCTCAGGGGAAGATTTGACCACAGGATATTCTTGTCAATGGCTTTCTTATGGGCAATTATCAGAAAGGTTTAAAGTGGATAAAAGATCTTATGGTTTTGAACAAAGTAAGACTGAGTTTGAAATAGAGTTGTGTACTGATGATGATCATTTTATTGCTAAAATGTATAAACTTTTGCTGAAATATGAGACAGAAGAAGAAGAAGTGAAATAATGTATGATAACATGGGCTATAAATTTTGGCTATAATATGCAAATAGATCAATGGGAAAATATGTGGTTGAAAAGATTGAAATTTACATTAGGTTCTAGCCTTAAAGAGAATTTTTATAAAATGAGGTATTGTTGGTATTTGTCTAGAAACTGTCTAGAATGTATAAAGGTACTTCAAATCTTTGCTGGAAACGTGAACAACATGAAGGGGCATTTTACCATGTTTGGTGGATATGTAAAAAAGCCAATAAAATTGGATACAAATACATACACTAATTTAGAAGATTTTAAAGGTTAAAGTACAACTGAAACCAGAGACTTTTCTTTTGGGACTAATGGATAGACAGCTACCAAAAAATCATAGAACTTTGTTTTTATATATAACAACTGCAGCAAGATTATTATATGCTCAAAAGTGGAAAGGTTTGGCACTGCCCACAATGGAGGAATGGTTGGTGAAGATGATGGAACTTGCAGAGATGGCAAGATTGACTTCCTTGATTAGAGAAAAAACAATATCTACATTTATGACTGACTGGAAACTCTTTATAGACTTTTTGCATGAAATGAAAAAAAAATGCACTTAATATTTGCGGGTTTGAGGATTAGGGAAAAAAATGGATAATAGGAAAAAAAATGGATAATAGAAAAAAGTGAGCTTTTTTGGTAATCGTGGAGTAAAAGTTAATTTTGTAATTGTATTTGTATTTGCTGCAAAAGAAATTGGAAGTTTCTTCTTCCTTTTTCTTTTTGTTTTCTCTTTTTACACCTTTTCTTACTTCTTCTTTGCTCTTCTTACTCTCTATTAGTTCATATTAGTCTTTATGTTCTTTGTAAAATCTTTAATAAAATTTATATATAAAAAAGGAAATGATTAAATCAAGTAGCAAAGCTAAAAAGATCCCCAAGATCACTTTACACGCATGCAAATAGACGGGGTGGCATCATTCAGGTTGCAGAAGAGAAATGAAGCGATGCCAGGCGTCCTGTCACCTCCTCCAGCGTGACTGAGAAACAGGGACATTGCGAGGGCCGTGGGCGGTGAGGCGGGTTGGAATAAATTCCAGCAGCCCTGACTGAAACTTGACTGATCTCCCTTTTCTCCTGCAGAGGGATGTTGACAACTGGAAATTCAGCAGAACGGCTTCTTTTGGGGAGGGGGCATCCTGGTGACTGAGACTTCTACTGTCGTTTCTTTTTCTAAAGAAACTTTAGAACTTTTCTAAAGTTGGCATTAAATGATCTTCCATGCCCCTTTTACTTACAATTCTGAAAGATGGAAATAAAGCCACTTCTCCCAGCAAGTAGAAATACTTACGGTTAGGTCAGCTGTTTGGAGTGTATTATTCAAACGCGAATGGATCTGGGATTTGCAAACATGAGTATACCCTTACCCGGATTCGCGGCTTTTGTAGAAATGAACAGCTGCAGACCTGCAAAAGCATCTTTGTGCAAAGCACAAAACACCCAAAAGTCACTATTTTCATATACAGATCAATGCGTTGGTCTAACAGCTGATTTATTTTCTGTTAAAAGAAAGTTCAGCAAGTCAATAACTCATGATTTCTTTTTATGCGTTAGAGCAGAGAACACTCTCTTCTTAAATTTTATGCCTGAGAAACACAATCATGTAAAAAAAAAAATTAAAAGAACATTTTATCACTGTACTTTACCAAAAGCTTGAGCAGAGTTTTTATTTTTCCCTCCCTCCCATCCATAAATCTCAATTTTATGGCTACAATAATTGAAAAATCTGAGTTGATGATGTTTGGAGGAATATTATATACTACTAGCGTTTAAATGTTTTTCTCTGTTCAGCATCAATCCTATTCAAGAATCAATTATTTATTGGCTTCACACTTTTTCCAGTCCAGAATAACCGGAAGAGCTTCAGACTTTTCTGTAATTACAATTAACCCAGATATAACAAATCTCTTCCCACGAGTATGAATTTGGCATTTGGTTCCAAACTTTACTAAAAAGAGACAGTTGTAGAAAGAATAAGGTCTTTCATATATACAGATTCTCTTTAGCTCAAATAGAAAGCTCTTATCAAATTAAATTAATTTAATTTAATTTAATTTACTCTAACCCAAACTCTAAATTAATTCTGCTCATGGTTTCTTAAAATATTGGGGATAAATACACTTTCAGGAATGTTAGAAGTTATACAAATCTGCTGAACCAGAACTTGTGTAGACAGTTTTGTTCATTCCTTAAACTTTGGGGAAAAGCCTTAATAACTTTCATAGACTGCCTTTAAATAAAGCTATTACTGCATTTGAAATTCAGGGAGCAAAGGTTAAAACCTAGCAAAATATAGAAGAATGCTACAAAAGGATCAAAAGATAAATTCCATCTGCTGAAGAAGTCTTAATAAGATCTTGGACAGAGATAAGATCTCTGGAGGGGGACAATCTCTGAAATCTTGCAAAAATTTCAATTTTCTGAATCCTATAGACCAAGGATGCACAAATTGAAGCTCCAACACCCATTGATCTATAGTGTCCTTCAAAAGTGGTCACTCAGCTGTAATTTTTATGTTCTAAAAGATGAAAATTCTTAAAACAGAATAATGATAGTATGGAGTCCTTGTGGTTCTCTGAGCTTGGTTGTTTTCTTGCAAACATTTCGTTACCCAGCTAGGTAACATCTTCAGTCCGAGAATGGGGTGGGGTTTGCTCTCTGTTTATATACTGTGACATGCCCTGCCAGTGCAGGTGGGTGTGTGTTTCTGTGCCCCGCCCCTTACCATAGTTTCTCGATTAGGGTATTGTTTGCTGCTTGATTGGTGTCTGGTGATAATCTTGGTGTTAATCTCTGCTTATCTGGGTGATGATCGCTGGTGAGGAGATGTTCTGATCTTTTGATTCCTTTTTATTGTGAATAGTGTGCAGATGTTCTTTATCTCTATGTGCCTGTGGATGGCTGCCTTGTCTGAATACCAGGCTTCCAGGAATTCCCTCACATTTTTGACTTCTATGTTATAGGTTATCTGCAAATCTGACAAAGTTCCCTCTACCTCTTTGTCCAAGCCATTAACAAATATATTTAAGCGTGGAGGGCCCAGGACTGACCTTTGTAGCACCCCATTCAGTAGCACTCTCCAATTGGAGGAGGAATCACGGATGAACACTCTCTGGGAACAATTTTCAATCAGTTCTGTATCCACTTAATTGTCCTGTTATCTAGCCCACACTTAACCAGCTTGCTAATCAACATGTCATGGGGTACTTTGTGAAATGATTTGATAAAATCAAGATATGTTATGTCTTCAGCACTCCCAAAATCTATTAAAGAAGGCTGTGGGGTGTTTTTTGCTTTTTGTTTTGGTGTCTTGGAGTCAGTCTTGACTCCTGGCGACTGCCTGGGCTAATCGCTGCAGAAGTGCTTTGCCATTGTCGCCAAACTGGCTCTTTTTAAAGAACTTACATCATCAAGAAAATGAGTAAGTTTAGTCTGGCAAGACTGGACAGATCCATCCTGATGTATTGTTTTCAAGGTGCTTCCAGACCAGACTCTAAAATCTTCTCAGGCATTGAAGTTCTCCAGAGCCTCCATTTCCCCTTTTTTGAAGATGAAGATCATTTTGTTCTCCTCCAGGCATCAAACACTTCACTGATTTCCAGGGTTTCTCAACAACAATGCTGGAGAACTTGGCCAGACCATCCACTTGGTCCTTCAATTCATCTGGTCCCAATGATTTAAACTTGAGGTTAAGATGCAGTGCTGCACCATGTCTTAACTGAAAACTTCAACCCTGTCCCTTTGCTTTGCTGTTCTCAGTTGTCTGAAGGAACACACACCTCCTTGTGGGAGAAAACAGCTACTGAGTGGTTCTCCCTTTTCTTTGTTTCTGACAGCATTTTGACAGCTTCACAGAGCAGCTGTGATATTATTTTCTTCTTTTTCCTTTTGAATATAAGTATCTAAAGAAGCTCTTTTAGTTATTCTTAGCAACCTATGGATGCTTCATCTTACCTGGGTGTCTTACATCCCATCCTACATGATACAGGATGGGGTCATCTGTGGGATGGTTAGTGTTGGCCTGACCTACATGCTGCAATAGGTAGGACACACTTTGGCTCAGTGCCATCTGCTGGGACCTAGGAGGTGCACCATTTCCACTGAGGCACCTGGAAGAATTCCCGCTCCCCACCCCCCTAGATATCGTTGGCCCTGACCCTGTTGGTCTTCAGAAAGACAGTAAAAACTTGGCTGTTTCCTCAGGTTTTGAGGGAGGTATGATTGGGGTTCCCATCTGATGGGAATGTACGAATGTGAGTTTCTGGTTGCCTGTTAATGTCTGAATTCTATTGGAATTGTTTATCTTCTTTTCATTTTGGGGTCTATTTTATGCCACCCAGAGCTACGACGTTTCAGTTGGGTGGCAACATAAATTTAATAAATAAATGTTGCCAGCCACAGCTCATTCTGAACTTTCCTTTTCTTGACATCAGTTCTGTACTTCCACACCACTTCTCTGTACTTTTCCTTTCCACCTGGCCCTCTTTTCCTTCCTTAGATGTATCCATCCTTATTTTTAGGCCAGGGTTTTCTGGCTGGGGAGTCAGGTAGTTTAAAAAAAAAAATTCCCAGAACCTCTTATCAAGAAGCAAAGCTCTAGTGATAAAAAGCTGGCTGCGTTAGAGTGAGATTTTTCATTTTCCTTTTTTTTTTGGTTGCTCATGGAAATCCACCAACTCCTCATGGAACTCTTGGGTTCTCTGGAACACACTTTGAAAAAATGTGTTATAGGCCTTCTTTATTCCTTCTCTGTAGCCACATTGGTTTCTTCCTTC